GATGGCGGCTTGAGAATCTGCTTCATGAGGAAGACGATGGGTGTGGGGCACATGAAGTTGCATGAGACCAAAAGGTGGGAAGAAGGTGGGGACTCCTAAAACCCTAACTTCTCTAACTCAAGTCAAARGTAAGATGTAAATTTTATCATTTATCTAGTAATAATCTAATTTATCCCATTATTTTGAAATTTTAGAGGGGTAAATTTCAACACATTTTTCATTCATTTGATGAGATAGAATTGATTCGGCCCATTGTTTTTGTTATTAGTTAAAAATCCTAAATCCCTAAAATTATGGGTATAGTTAATTGGTTACAAGGCTATATTTGTCTACAAAATATTTTAGAATTTAACGGAAAAAATCAATTAACCATTATTACAATATTTCATAGGTTTGGACATTTTATAAAAGGCGTTATTAATTTTAGTCATTTCTCTTCTGGCCTCATTACCTAATCCAATTGAAAACCCAAATTTGGGATAAGATAATCCAGTCCAAAATCTTCAAAGACTTCAAAAACAGTTGGGACGGACCCGCTCTCAATAGAACACAAATTGAGTGAAAGAAATTGTGGTTTTCGTTGTTGAACTTTAGATGGGAAGAAGTGGAAAAGAAATTAAGAAAGAGATGAATAATATGTCGTTGGCTTTGGATCGAATCATAGAGGGAGAGAAAGGAGAGAGAGACAAAGGTAGAGAAATTCTACCTCCAATGCTGCCCAAAGCGAGAATGTCGATTGAGGGGGCGCTTTAGACAATAGTAGGGAATCCTACCTCGTTCGATTACCTTAGATTTTACTACGTCAATTTTTTATTCAAATATTTATGGATGTTTATTTAAAGGTTATTTTTGAAATTTTTATTAAAGATTAAAAATAAGAGTATTTTTGAATTAAATACTATATATATATATATTTGCAATTTAGCCTAGTTAAAATATGTTGGTCTTCTCCCAAAAGTCAAAACAAGAGAAAAGAAAAGGAAGTAGAAGATAATATAATATAGCAATAATTTACAGTGGTTTGATAATATTCTGAAAAAAAGAAAGACTTTGACAAAAATAAAAAATTATTAGTCAATATTTATAAATATTGAATCGAAATTTGGACAATAACTTAGTAACCTAAAAGTGTATATATATAATTTAGCCTAGTTAAAACATGTTGGTCTTCTCCCAAAACAATAAAAAAGGAAATTGAGTTGAATATAATATAATATAGCAATAATTTACAATAGGTTGATAATATCTTGCAATATATATATATATATATATATATATATAGTCAATATGTATAATTATTTAATCAAAAGTTGGACAATAATTTAATAACATCAATAATTGATTTAGTCTTTAATTTAAGCATAAGTCAACTTAGCTATGAATGGATATAACTCTTCAATAAAGAGAGGCAGAAATATTCATTCTCCACACTGTACTATTGTATTAAAAAAGAATTGATTTAATCCATTTATATATACTTACCTACTTCATAATTATTTTATCCTTCTTTTTCTTTCTTTTTGTCTTTTTTATATTTTTTATTTTCACTCTTTAAATTGCCATATTAAATGTTTTTCCAAACTTTAGTCTTTAGACTACATTTTTTCTGGAGATAATATTGATAGCCATTTTGTTATTTATTTCTTATTTTTTAAAGCTAAACTTATAAACACTCCCTTCATTTCTCTATTTCTTTATTATCTTATCTACTTTTAAAAAATATTTTCAAAATTTAAACCAAGTTTTAAGAATTAAAAAAAATAGTAGTTTTCTAAAAATTTAAGAAATAGTCAATAACATATTAAAGAAATTGTGAAATAAGAAACCTAATTTTTTAAAATAGTAAATTTTTGTCTTAGTTAATTATATATGATAATTTGATAAATAAAAAAAAAGTTATTAGTCAACACTTTACAATTAATTAATAAAAAATTGCATAATCATGATTTGGTATGGTCAATGACTGATTTAGTCCATCTAAATATATAATTACTTCTTTATAATTTATTTTGGGGCACTCTGCAAAAGAAATATGTATATTTTGGGGCATTGGGGCTCTTTCCGAAAAAAATAGATTTTTTTTTGTTAAATAAGGTTTTTGCCATCACATATCAAATACTTTTTCTTATATTAGACTTGATACGGGAGAGGTTGAAGCCCTCGATGATTCGAGCACATGAATCAACAACCGATATGACATTCATTTTGTAAGCATAAAATTGATGATACACGCATCTACTCCAAAACTCGGACTTAAGAGAGATCAAGAATTTGGTTAAAATTTAGTACAAACATATGTTAGGTTTTTTTTTCTTTTTTTTTTTTTTTTAGTATTTCCACAATTTAGGAGTTATGTTTGATAATTAATTTCATGGTTGGAAGTTAATAAGTAGTGGAAGAGTGGATGAGTAAGTTGGAGAGTTTGTAGGCTTAACGCTGAGGTGGAGTTATAGCGTTGGTGAGAGAGAATTTGAAAGGTAGTGATAAATACTTATAATAATTATCAATTCAAGGATCGTAGGCCCACGGTATTCTTAAATAAGAAAAAAAAAATCCTAATTCAATAAAGAGAAGTTATTCCTTTACAATTTCTCTCTTGCTCCACTATGATGTTGTTACAAATTTTTTTCAATAAGCAAACACACATAATTTTCAAAAATAAAAAATTAGATTGGTTATGAAATCAATCTATTAGTTTCTTTTAGTTAAATACTATTTGATCACTATATTTTCACCCTTATTCTGTGTAATTTAAGAATTTGTTCATTTTAGTCCACGTTCAAGATTTTGGTTTCAATACTTTTAAAAAGTGACAATTTTAGTCTATATTGGTAAATAATACAATTTGTATATACAATGAAACCTCATAATTACAAATTTATGGCTTCATTTCAAGAAATTTAGGATCCGTTTGGTAACGTTACTTGTTGATGCAGAAATTTTGTCTATCGGGGTTCCGCCAAATTCGCACCAATTGTTAATAATGGAATTGGGAATGGACATCAACATGCAAAACAAATAGTACTGAACACAAGCCACACAAGCTCCGTTGCGTAGGTTAGAATCAGAAATTTGTCGAGTATTGATAATAAGGTTTTCAACGTACTTTTAGATTTAGCTTACTGTTATATTTATAAAGGTCGAATCCTAGTGCCCTTAGCAAACATACCATGTTGGGTTATGGGTATCTTGTGGGTTGAATGTTGAACAAAGGGATTGGTGGCCTGCAATAGACTTCCTAATAGTCGAACCTAGTCGGCTAGATCCGGTTGACTAGGACCTTGTCAGTCGGGACCTGGTTGGCTAGGACCCTAGACTTGATCATGCCTTGGATCTGGTCATGTCTTCAGTCTGGTAATGCCCTGGCCATGTTCTAGACCTGGCCATGCTTTGGGCCATGGACCTAGTTCGCCTGTCGGGTCTAGCTTTGTCTTTCTATAACATTATTGTTTCTTGTTTATATTTTCATGGCTCTCAACACTCATAGATTCAAGAATGACAAAATGATATTTTTATTTCTATTTAGTAACAAACTGGAAATATAAACAAGAAATTTGTTATTATCATTTTCAAAATTTATATATAAATTAATTTTAAAAATATTTCTAAAAGAATGAAAAATATGAAACATAAATAGTTATCAAATATTGAAGTCTCTCAATAAATAATTTAAAACCGAAAACAAGAAACCGGAATGTTTTTAAAAATGGATTAAACAAAATAGTATTTAAAAGTAGGGATATTAAAATTGAATAGAGAAGCTTGAAATATCTAAATTGATAGGCTACAAATAGAGGAGCGACCCCATTTTTCTGCCAAGTTTTAACTTAGAAAACGTATAATTATATTCCACGTGTCGTTTATGGCTTCAAAAGCTTCTCCTTTCCTTCTCCGTTGGGTCGGTTTGGCCATTTTCCAATTTTCCATCCTCAGATTCTTCAGTTCCTTCATCAAGAATCTCCATTTCTCTCTGGTCCCTAACAATGGCGGAGGCATCTGCTGCCCTCTGTTTCTCCTCCTTCTCCTCGCCCCACTGCATTTCCCGCTCCCTCGACCTCTCCCCCTCTTTCCTCTCCTCTCCTAGATTTTCCTTTTCGGTTTCTCATCACCGTCCCTCTCGTCTTCTCCGTTTCTCCGTCAGATCCTCCGGCTCCGGAAGCTTCATGGGGGACGATTCTTCCGGATTGTTTCCCTGGGCCGACGGCGGCAGTGGTACGTTGCTTATTCCTCCTTCTTTCTTTTCGCTTTCTCTAATCGGAAGCCTTCTGTTTGCGCTGACCACAATTTCGCGTTCCTTAAGAACTCTGCAGCTGATGGGTTCATCGATATTAACATTTCCCCCAATTCTAATTACCTGATTTCATGAGATTGCGTTTGATTGCGAAAAGGGACTTTCCCCTTTTCTTCCATTCACTTGATCAAGAAGAGGGTACTTTTTTCTTGTCGTTTTAGAATCAATTCGAAAACTATCGGACTGAATTGCTTGTATTAATCTTACCATCAAGTGATGGGAAGAAGATGTTAGAGTTATATTTGTTTTATGGGCGATTGCTCTGATTGAAATTGTGCACAGAAATCCATTGGGTTCCTGAGGAGAGAGTCACATTGTTCACTCCAGATGGGCTTGTTCAGATTGGAGGTTCAATCGTCCCTCGACGCATCTCTTCTTCAGATGTATGCCCTTTACATATATGTACAGGCTCGTTGATGCTTGGATTCTTGTTCAGTTCTGATAAAAGCTTACGATTAGAGCACTATATTGTTAATTACTTTGGGTAGAAGCTGGTGTCAATTGATACAATTTCTTTCACATGTGCTATCTGGTTTGTATTTGGGTTAAAACTGAGGTTCTTTTGACAGAAAAAACAAGGGAAATCAAAGACTTACCAGAGATTCCAACGGTTCCAAGAGAGTGATTATATGGATCCCAAACAGAGCATATGTCTTGGTGCATTATTTGATATTGCAGCTACCAACGTGAGCCTTCTGGGCAGTTTTGTTTTCTGTTAGAAAGCCTTAAAACTCCTTCCTCTAGGCCTGTCTTATTTCTTTCCTGCCCCCTTTTTTTCCTTCAGGGACTTGACATGGGAAGAAGACTTTGTATCTTTGGTTTTTGCCGTTCAGTGGAGATGCTCAGTGATGTTGTGGAAGACATTGTTTTGGAGCAAGGTGGAGAGGTTTGTTTGTAAATCCATATGCACCATTCCCCCAACCCGCCCCGCCCCCGATTATCCCTAGCTTCGTTTCAGTAATCGGGAGAGTATGTTTGAGTTTCATCTTTTTTTTCAGGTTGTAGCAGCAGAGAAGGCAAGTAAAGGGGGCTTGCAGGAAAAGCTAACCATGACAGTAGCTGTTCCACTACTTTGGGGGGTTCCTCCTGCTTCTGAAACTCTTCACTCAGCTGTTCAGAGTGGTGGAGGGATTGTGGAGAAGGTCTATTGGCAATGGAATTTTTTGTAAATATGACATTCTTACACCCTTTTAACCATCTCTTGTGCATTCTGTACATAAACATTGATGTAATTATATGTACAAAACTCCAAAGCCCAATTGTTAAATGTTATTAACTAAATATTGAAAAGTATATCAAATGATTGGTTTATTCTGGCCTATCAGCATGTAATTTTTTTAAAATTAAAAAAAAGCATATTAATATTCTACTTGTTGGGTCATGTGATTTAGCTCTTCTTTATTGACATTTGATGCTGTTTGTGTTGGACTAGAAATGAACTACATATCACATCAGTTCTCTTTTTTTCCTTCTGGGCAACTCTTAAAGTAATTTTCGTACAATTTGGTTTGATCTCTAATGAGTGTAGTTGACTGATGAGTTGGAAAGACATCTACTCTTTTTAAAGTCCTCTTAGAGTTGGAGGTTCAAATTTCGATATCCAATGCTGGACTAGAAAAAAATATGTGATCCATGAAGTAGATCCTTAAACAAGGGAAGGAAAGACCACTACCACTTAGATATTTGGCTCTTTTGCAATCCCTTCTAGAGAAATATGGCGAGTGTATGGTTTATGATATGTGTAGCTCTATAATGTTGAAGGTTTCTCGCTTTCTATTTGGTGATGATTTCTAGCTTTGATCTCGTAGTTCTATCGATCATATTGACGAATGAGACTTGGTTATGTTTGTGACCCCAAGATTAAGTGAGGAGGACTGTTGTCTTGTCTCCCAAAGTGTTGAGTTGTTCGTCTATGGCTAACGTTTGGAGCATTCTGTCCTGGTAGGCATAGGATTGTATAGCACCATGCCTTGTGGTTTTGACGTTGTATTCTTAAACACTTCATTTCTGAGCTAGTTATTTAGGATTGTTTGCAAATTCATGTTCCTGAGAGAAGTTGAGCTCCTATATCTTTAAAACGAGGCGAGTAGGATTTCTTTAGATTTTGTTGGGGTATTTTGGTAATATTGGATTAAGTAAATATCACACCTATTAGTGAAGGACCATATTTGCAATATCTGCCAATCATAATATAGCTCAAACAGGTTAAGATACCTATACATGACCGAATGGTTCGCCCTGGTAAATGGAGTTATTTACGTTGTTTCCTACTAATTTTAACAAAAGCTCAATGAAATGGGCTTTTATGTTTATACATTGGGTGGTGGGCTTTTGAGTTTCTGGACCTGAAAACTTGATATCCAGGCTTGATGGGCTTAACCAACCTGAATCCCAAAATCCAGATTTCAAATTTCCTTTTTCTTTTGGTATTATTTGATATGACTATTTAAAGGTTTTATTTTAAATTTGAATTCTCCACTCTCGATTTCGCTACAAGGGTTTTTGTTTTTTTCTTCAATAATCGTCACTCGATTACATTTTAATATTACCATTAATAAAGTTAGTCAATAATTAATTAAAACTTTTTTTTAAAAAAATTATATTTGCAATTACCCATTCAAACATTTCTCTCCACTTTGAATTTGTTTTCAAATTCCATTATCAAAGTCTCAGATGCTGTTTTCTGGACCAAATTTTAATCAATTAAACTATGGAAAAAAAGGATGAAATTTTCAAATTATGGAAAAAGATGGGAAGAAAAGAAAAGAAATTTCATGGAAAAAAGAGTCAGATTTGGAGTTTAGAGAGAGAAATTGGTGGGAAAAGTCCCCACCACAGCTTCTAGACAGAGCCACTGGGGAAGATGTTTTTTCTTTTCTCTTCTTATTTTTTTTAAATGGATAAACAAAACAAATCTTTGAATTGGTCAATGAGATTATCTTCATTGTTTTCTTCTTGTTTTTTTGTTTTTGTTTTTTTAATTTTATTTTATTGAAACCCACTTATTTATTTATTTATTCAATTTGTTCAAACATTAACACCAAAACCCATGCTTCATTCATCTCTTTCCTTTTGGCTACTTCCTCTCCGGATTCTCTCTCTCTATGCCATTATGTGTAATCGATAAATTATGCCTGATCCTGAGATAATAATTTCGTTTTTTATTTTTTAAGATGATTAAATTTAATATACTCTTTTTACCTATGTGTTTTTTAATTTTGTTATTTACATTTTAAAAATATTTTCACAATCAAAGCAAACTAAAAAGAGAAAAATTTTATTTCTCAAAAAAAAAAAGTTGTAAAAAATAATTTATAGACTTATTCTTGTTTTTTGAAATATTACTGACTAGGGTTTCAATTTGTTTTTAAAACAAGGGTAAGAAATCAAGCATAAATTGTTAATTAGAAACAGAAAACAAAAAATGTAGCCTAAATGTTCAATCTTGTATCTTTATTTATTTTTTCTTTTTTAATATCTAATAGATTCTTAAATTTTAAATTTTAAATCTAATAAGTATTTTTAACTTTAAAAATATTTTCTGGAGTCCTTGAATTAAGTTTCTAGACTAATAAATACCTTCTAATAGTTTCATAAATTTTTTAAAATATGTCAAATAAGTCAGTAATATAATAGAAAAAAAATTAGAAATTTAAAAACTTATTAAACACAATTTTAAGAATTTAAAAGCTAAAATTAAGAATTTAAAGGCTAAACTTGTGATTTAATTTGTAACTCGATTTCTAACCGAGTCATATAAACCCAAGTTAGGAGTCAAATTGGCCCTTTTATGATTTATATATGTAAATAAATTTAAAGTTTAAGAATCTCTTGCATTTCATTAGAATAAGATTAATCCACTCCATATTGCATTTTTCTATATTCAAAGTCTCCTTCATTCTGACACTTGCTGTCCTTCCCACTTTGCAAAACCCTTTCCATAATTAAATTAAATTATGGATTAAGCAAAACTTCAACAGGAACACTTGAAATTAATTAAATAATTTGCAAATTTTGGTACAAGTTCTTCCTAATTTCCTCCTATTGTCTCCCACATGTGATTGATGGATGGATTATTTTTATTAGTACTACATACATGATCTTCAAAATTATTTATTTAAGAAAACTTGAAATTAAGTTTAATTAAATACCCTTTATTTTTGGTTGACAAAGATGTAGTTTTGTAAGGGGGAAAAATCTAAACTCTAAATCAGAGCTTTAAATTAAGTAAACTCTTATGCCTAACCTTCACCAGTTGATATTAATTAATCATAATGATCATCTCCCATTGCCATCATCTAGGACATAAAAAATAGATGAAAAATGATTATCGTTTATATTATGGCTCTTATTAATAGTTTAATTGTCGTATTTTGTTTTATTATGTGTACTTTATGAAATTTGTACTACCCTCTTTTTTCTGTTTTTTTTTTTACATCCCTTACCTTTCATAATTATTTTTTCTTTTTTAATACAACAAATATGGAGGTAAAGAAATTTGAATCTTTTAACCTTAATATCATCTATTATTAATTAGTTATATGTAGCTCGGGTTGGTATTGGATTAGGAAATTGTAAACGGAGAGGGGAAGTCTTATCCTTCTCCATATTAAATATTCGACAACTCATTATTATTTTAAAGAAAAGTTTATATTTTTATATTTTTCTCTTTTGTCAAACATCTAATGATGGGAGTAACCTCATTGTTAAGAGCCGACATTATGTTAAATGGAGTTTTTTTCCCTTGATCTTATAGCTATTGTTGGAATCTGTTTTTTCGTGTGGTTGGATTTAGGCATTTCTTTGACAAAAACTTTTTTACCAGTTTACTTTTTAACATTTCTCACTTATATTTGAGTACAAAATAATGGATAAAACTGAAAAAAAATATCCCATTACTTTAAATCTAAAATTCAATTACCCAGCCAACAAAAACTAATATATAATAACAAGATAAAAATCAGTGTTGATCATGATGATTATTAACAAAATGGATTAAGTACTCTACTCCCAACATATACACCATTTCCCTAAGACAAAATACAAATAAGAAAGAACCCCCCAAAAAAAGGCAAACTTTTCTATCATTTACAGTCAAAAAACCACAACACCCTCCAGAAGAGAAAAATTTCCAACCATTGTAGCTTCAAGTAGTTTGATCATCAAAAAAGAAATTGGTGCAGGCAGTAGAAGTAATGAGCTGCTTGATTTCTTCAAGCCCATAATCCAACAATGGCGGTTCTTGGTAGGACTGGTTCTCACCTGAGCCATCTGAATTGGAGCTGCAGCTGGCCTGAACCATGGGGCTAATCATGTTGAACCTTGCTTGATCTTGAGGGAACAATAATGGGGTTGTGGGGTTTACAAGATTATTGTTGTTGTTATTGTTGTTGGGGGAGAATATTGAGATCATGGGGTCTAAATTGGAGAAGGACCAGATGGGGCTGCTTTGATCTGAGTATGAATATGAGTATGAATATGAGGATGGTGAGGAAGAGGAAGGGGAGGAGGAATTTGTTGAGGAATGTTGATGAAGAAATGGAGGATTTTTTATTTGATGGCTTGGAGGGATGATGTTGGTGTTGTTTATGCTCATTAGTTTCTTCTTCAATTTCGTGTTCCAGTAGTTCTTTATGTCGTTGTCTGTTCTTCCCGGTAATTGTGCTGCAATTACTGACCATCTGCATCAATGACGAATCAGTTATGGTCAATTTGAATCTAGTTTAGTGGTTAAAGTAGTAGTAAATTTGATAATGATCCTCCCTACTTTTAATCCGCGAGTAACATTTATTTAAAAAAGATTAATATTGGTAGAATCGAAAGAAACTATATATAGAAAAAGTTAGCAGGTAGAATTTTGTCACTGTCATATAAAAATTTCTGACCAACATCCCTTTACCATGTGAAAGTAGAAACATTTGCCATCTAAATTCAAATATAATCTCTAAACTATAGGAAGGGAATAGAAAAATGATGAAGGTACCAAAAGAACAAAGAATTTCAGTGAAGGATTATTTATTTTTATTACTCAAACTTAAAAAAGCTTTAGCTGATAAAGCTATGAAAATTATTTAAAGGTCCAATAATTATTTCCCATAATGCACAGATATTTTTGTTCTAAACAAATCATAGAAAGGACAGATAATATTCAATGGGTTCTCTAAGCCATATTGTAAATTTTATATCAAACTGTACTTTTTACTTTTTACCACTGGATTACTACAATAATTTGTGTTCAACATTAATGATTCAATAAACCAAAAGAGAGAGGGGAGAGAGAGAGAAGGAAATGAAACAAACAAAAATACCTGCTTCCAATGGTGGCAAAGAGATTGCAAATTAATGCATCTTCTTCCTCAGAGAAATCTCCATGTTTGATATCAGGCCTCAGATAATTCAGCCACCTCAATCTGCAACTTTTCCCACATCTCTTCAATCCTGCCCAACATATCACCATAACTCAACAGCTAAAACATCATTAATCTCGAAACCCATTCCAACGATGGTTTGTCATAATTCAAATAACGCGGGTATACGCCTGCGATTTTATAGTTTTTCCTCTAATTTGTCTCTCAGCAAAACTTTTAGTAAGGATAGTTGACGATGGCGCTCTAGTTAAGGCACCAATAACCTCTATCGAAAGATTTAGAATGAAGCCATAAAAAGTGAGAGGGATTGATAGGATAGATACCAGATTTTTGTGGGAGAGAGATCCAATTGCCTCCAGTTCCATGTTTCTGAATATAATCTTTAAGCTTTGCATCTTCTTCAGGGGACCATGGCCCTTTCTTCACATTAGCTTTGTCACAGCATGGAGTTCTTCCCATTTCTCTCTCTAAAAAAATGGGATTTTGAGAAGATGAGAGAGATTTTAATTCATTTGGGTATCTATTTGCTTCTTTTATTGAGAAAGAAATCACCACATAAGTCAAACAAACACCCTCTATATTTCAATTATTTCTCTCTCTCTCATCACACAACTCCCTGTCATAAACTAAAAGAGAAAAAAAAAAATTAAAAATTTTGAAGAGATCAAGGAGATTAATTGGAGAGAATATATATATATATTTTATTTGGGTAGCAGCCTCTTTGATTTCAATTGGAATCCAAAGTCTTCTGCTCCAAAAATTATGAATGGATTGTATATATAATAATGCAATGCACNCCAATTTATTGGTTTTTTTTTTCTCGAGTCCTTTTTAAACCTAAATTAAGACCCCCTAGTTTTGAAAACGAAGGTCTCTTTATTAGTGTGATTACTGAGGGAGAAAGATACAAAATAGAGATTTAAACAAATAAAAAGAAATAATGAGTTGTTAATTTTTTAATTGCGGTGAGGAATAAGGAATAAAATATTTTCCTTAAATCTATTTTGGTTGTTGTATTTTTTACCTTGGTTTATTTTTGTCCATGTATTTTTACTTATTTATTTTAGTGATTTTACTTTTGAAATATTTGTTTTTGGTGTCTCTACTTTAAAAAGTGTTTGGTCTTTTCACTTTCATTTTTATTTTTTTTTAAACCAAAATTTTAGCATGTTCTTCACTCTCTTAAATTTATGTTAAAATTTTACAAGTACAAAAATTAAAATGAATAAAATTGATAGTATAAGAGTTAAAATAGCCGGACTAAAATAAACTAAAAGTTTGTACATATACTAAAATAATATTTAAACCAAAAATCAATAATGTAGTTGTTTTAAATTATATTTTATTTTTGGGTGGTCCAATTATGTGCTATTTGTCGTATTGTAACACCCAATATATATTATATTCCCTAGCTTAGGTAAAAAGCTTAATGTGTATTAATTAATTACATGAAATTTATACTCGTATTGAGTTGTGTAGGGAATCCTTATAATTAAATAATGTTCATGCAATGTATGTATATATTGCTTGAATATATATTTGTATTATATTGAAAATGAAGATGTGATATTATATTAAGTGTAATGACAAAGATACCTGTTTTTCTTCATATAGCAAACTTTTAAAAAAAATACGTATTATAAATATATTTATGTCATTTAACGTTAAATGGTTCCTAATTTTTTAGATAATTCTTAATTTTACTTTTAATGTATAAATCATTTTGAAGTATATTCAGACAAAAAAAAATGATATAACAGACACGTTGACAAATTATTCAGATGTTACTTGACACATGAAATTCACGATTCTAGGTCAATGGGATTAAAGAATAATAATTAAAAGATTGAAATTTTAATTCAATAATATATGTTGGGTTTGTGGGTGTCAAAAATTCTGGGTTTTAATTTTCAAACATTTGCATTCATTTCAAATGGTAGACGCCAAACGGGACTATTTACCAAGAATATTAACTTTTCACTTCGCATTCACACTAAAATTTCAAACTTTCTTTTAAAAAAACAAAGTAAAACTGGTAAAAAAGTGATCGCCAGGCTGATTGGATTGATGGGTATGTAATTTTCAATGGTTTTCTTTTTCTTATTATTCTCAAGTTCTAAATTTTATTGAATCTAACTTTTCAGGCTAGATTTGAAAACCAAATATATAAACTATCCTATGTGACTTTAAATATTAATCCGTGCAAAAGTATATTATTATTGAGTAAATAAACAAGATATATATTTTTAAGTTTAAATAATTTATTTAAAAAGCTAATTAGAAAGATAGAAATGAATATTATAAAAATTTAATAAATATCAAAATTGAATATAAATATGATTCGAACGGGATTTAAACGTATATTATACATTACATAGTAACGTCTAAGATTGTTTATAAATGGCTACCTTCAATCTCAAGTGAAGGAACAAATATCAATTACTGTTTGAATTTTGCTCATTTTAACTTGTTTTTGTCCCTAAATCTAATACTTCTAATTTTATTACTGTCAAACAAATATATGTATATTTCTAATTTTATGATGTATAAGTAATAAGGGTAATAATTAAGTATCAATTCAAATAAATTTTATGTCACAAAATTGTCCACGTGATTTTTGACCATTTTGGACTAAAAATATATATACCAACACTCATAAAAAGCTTATTTATTAAAATTTTCATCCTTTCTTTATTATTTTCAAAATTAAACCTGTCGAGTAAATGAAGAATGAAGAAGTGGCAAACAATGTTCTATAATCATTTTTATTTTACTAGCATACTTGCATTTGAGTCCTTCTATAAAATCCAAAATTAAGATATATCTTGACTTTGCAGTCAAGACATCTTAATTCTTTCTCAGAGGTCTCCCTACATTTGTACTAAAAAATTTGTTTGGATAACAAATTTTGTACTTTTTTTTATTTTAATTAAATTTAGGACAAAAAGAACAAGAAATGGTTATCAAACACGTTTTTATTTTATTATTATTACCAAACACATCATTCTATTTTTCTTTATTATAAATAAGAAAATGGAAAATGAGAAATCAGAAAAAAAAAAGACAATTACTAAATGCTTTTTTGATAACCTGATCTCTATGTCGTAGACTAATGGTACATGCAATAACCTATGGATATTGCTATAAATTAAATATTATTCACCATATTTATCAATCCAYGATACATTCAATGTAGGGTAGGAAAAAGTAGATAATGTTGTAGCTACATAATAAATACTATATAGTACTATATATATATATAATATTTTATTTCTTATTTCATTTTGCAACTTTGGTAGTAAATGTTGACCAATTGAAGCCCACTTGCTCAAAACTTTCTAGAGAGAGAGAAGTTTAAATTGAAGATGAAGATGTAGAGACGTGTTTAATTTAGCTTCTTCACTGGTCAAATATTTATACCCATAAAAAATAAGTATCTTTTTTCACCATTGCCCACTTGATAAAGAAAAATGCCCACAGAAATTTCAACCTATTAAGAAATTTTTGCTCAAATTAATAGTTTAAAATAATTAAAATTACATTTTTAACCTCTATACTTCAATATTAATTTCATTTCGATCCCTCTATTCCATAATGAGATTTGTCTCAGACCCCAATTTGATCTATACGATTTGAGTTTAATTTCAATTTGATGGTTAAATAGAAAAAAAAATATCTCATTGCCATGGAGGAAAAAAAACAATATGGTAATGTATGACCATGAACAATATTTTTGAAGTTTGACTCATCGTAATGATAAGATTGAAATTTTTAAAATTGTAGAATCTAAATTGAACTAAACCAACCAATAATTACATCAAATTGAAATTATAAATCTAAATTGTTTTTAAAATAAAACTGCTCACAAATATAATTTTAGAGACCAAATTTATAATCTAACATAAAGTATCGTGCCATTGAAGTGACAAATTAATTATGGGATAAGAAAGGAAAACAAACAAATTAAATAGGTGTAGATTATGATTTATGGTTTGAAATTTGCGTTTTTATTATTTTGTAAAGACATGATTGTCACCTCACCAAACGACATTTAATTTGCAACTATGTCGTTCAACATCTCTCTTCTAAATCCTTTTTCTATAATCATTATTTTCCATATTTCTGGTAAATAATCCTCTCAACTTTGCTCGTTACATGAGTTTTAAGGGGTCGTGAATTCAGATTTCAAATCTCATTCGTTGTACCAAAAAAAGTTTCTAAATTTTCCTACTGCAATAATTACAGCTTATCTTATGTTCATATTTTTTTAGGTCGAAATATTATTTTTGTCTCTATATTTTTTGTTTTGGTTTATTTTGGTTAATATACTTTTAAAATTATTATTTTCGTCAATGTATTTTCAATTTTAATTTATTTTAGTTAATATACTCTCAAAACGTTTATTTTAGTCTTTATATTTTGTTTATTTTAATCTCTATATTTTTAAAACACCTATTTTGGTCTTGTATTTTTTTAAAATGACTATTTTGATCATTTTTATCAAAATTTTGAACACATTATATTCACAATGGAAAATTTTTTAATCAAATTTATGGGTTTTTTTTGACAAAATAAGGCTACATTTTAGTGAGCGAAGTATCATGTTAAAATTATTATTTAAGATGAAAATGAAAATGAAAGGACAAGCCAGTTACTTTTTAGAAAACGTTTTGGGAAAGTTACCCTAAACCAAAGTCAAAAGAAAATAGTATTTAAACATTTTATACATGTGTGTGGTTATTTTGTTCCTTTAGCAATGTTCATTCTTCAAGCTTATCACTTAGCACACCCTTTTCCTTGTATATATCCATTTAATTCAGTAAAAAGAATTAAAAAAATATATATTATATTTGGTTCTTAAGAAATATCAATCCTTATTTGTTGGCAATACATTTGATTAATAATTATATTGATAGAAAAAGCTTAATTAAAATGATCTATTATTTTGGAAGTGTATAGATATTCATTTCTGAGTTTCTAATTAGTGGGTATCAGTTTACTGTTCTTTATTTAATGAGAAAATCTATTGGTAAATTCGTTATTTCTTTTCATTTTGAGATGATCTCTATTCATGCATGGATCTAAGAATAATAGGCTTAGAGAATATTTATTATTTATTAAACAAAATCTAACAAATTGGCATAGGAATTAATAAGAAAATGAGAAAAGAGATTTTATGTTCCCTAGATTATTGTGTTAATCTTAATATTCTACTTTAAAAAATGAGGTTGGATGCTTGTAAATTTAGTTTATTTCTATCCGTAGTGCAAATCATGTCGTTTATGAAGTTAAAGAACTTGTAAACATAAAGCCAACAACTCACTTGATTAAGGTATTGTATCCTCAATTAAAAAGTCGTAAATTTGATCTCTCTATCTCCAAATATTGTTATGTGTTAAAAGAAATTATGAACCTGACAACTCATTTTAATGGTAAGAAATGGTAGTCGTGTATTTGATTATTATTAGGAGGGTCATTTTAATCCAAAGTAAAGTAGAATGATTAAGTTGAAATAAAAATTTAAACTAGTTGATAACTTCATATCACTATTTTTTTCGCCTATCTTTTAATATATATATTTTATATATAATTTATTTATTTATTGATTGCAACTTAATTATATATATAATGACTTGTTTGCCATTATTATTAATTAAGCATAGTAGTGACAAAAATATCCAAGTCAAAGCTTTTAGTAATTTTAGACATAAGCATGATTCTAAGTCTTTTTCTAGAATTTATTCAAAAAAAAAAAAAAGTCTTTTTCTAGAAAGCATTCAGACAATTTCTCGAGTATTGGGATACAGGAATTGACCCACCAAACTCAAAGTTCTCACATGTGCATATTAATTTTCTAATTCGATTTAATTAAAGTAACATTTTTTTTTCTTAAACTAAATAAGTACATGTTGTATTTCATCAAATGACCAAGTATAGTGTGAAGTGCAAGTTTTATCCATCAATATTTTTCTTGTGGAAATTACCTTTTTTTAATTGTGGAAAAACAGATGGAGTTGAAAATTATTGCCTCATTTTCTGTCAAGTTGACTTGAAAATCACCAGGAAACATGAAATGTAAATGGGCTGCTTGATTATAAAAGACATAAAAAGTTTTGATTGTTTAATATTATAAACTAATGTAATTTTAACTAAAAAAATTATATTTTTTTATCTCAGCGTTAGTGTGATATTATATTGTGTCTTTATTCAACTAAGTTGCATGATGTTATTTTGACTTCTCTTATCAATAGAGATATTGTCGTTTATTATAAACCTATTATATATAGTTGTTCATGGCGAATTTTGGAGAGGACCACGTATCCTTCGAAAGAGAGCCTACAACCAGAAAACTAGACGCTGATGCGATGTCCCACCTAATAATCTCCAACACTCAAGTCAGTGATCGGAGTATAAAATAGAAAAAGACACCTTAAGTAATAGTGACAGGTTTTTCACTTACTTGATGAAAGTGAGAGTCCTTTCTTATATAGACTCGAACGGCTGACTAGGAAGGAAGACGGTTATGGTCGCAGGGGCACGCCGTGCGGTACATCTTCTTGTGGAAGTGCACGCCCCCGACAACTGATGGGCGGTACCATTGCCTACGAGTCTGGGGCCTATCGCCTGTCGTAGGCAAGCTTCGGGCTCGGCACGCTACCCGTACCGGAGAGACAGAGGTGCATATCTCCTACCACGACAGTGTACGGTGTATAACCGTATGTGATCCTGCGCCCTCTTAACTATGGCACGCGTCCTGTTCGGTTTTCACCTTCGACCATAGTAATTTATAAACTTATATCAGATTTTGGTTGCATCGTGCCCTAACAAATTCTCTCCTCCCTCCCCAAACAAACAAATTTTGTTCGTCGTGTCTCAACCATCAATAGCTTGCTTATCGAAATCAATTATTATTATCATCATTATTTTTTTTAGTGCATGATCATCTATTCAATAAACACTAACCATAAAATTAAGTAGCATCGTCTCTAATATCATTTATTATTGTTATACAACTATATGTAGAAATTATCTCTTTTCGACCCAAGTTCAAATGAATTTACCGAAATGTTGAAACAGTATATCCATATAATATGCAACACACAATATGCAAAATTCAATATTCATAATAATTGGGGTAAATCCAACTAAAAGCTAGTGAAAAGACAAAAATTACCAAGACCTTTTTCCACTGCCATTGACTTTGGATATACAACCATATGTAGAACAAATAGCAATAATTAATTCATCTTTCAAGTTAGATGTTGATTACCTAATCTCTCAGTTGGCTTAGAGTTTGTATTTTGGCCAAAAGTTTCAAGAGTTTTAAGCAGGTTGTTTGGTTGGGCCACCTAAAAAGTTGTCACAGTTAACGAACTTCATGAGGACAATCAAAAAAAAAAAAAAAAACAGCAAACAGATGAGTTCTGGTAAAAGGTTGTTGGTCTTGTTTTCTTGTCAAGACATGGCATGAGCCTGTGTTTGGTTTTTGCACCAAAAAGATGAGAAATATTTGGTAGCAGATGAGAACTGAAGTCCAATTCTTTATTGTTGTTGAATGTCATTGTTGAATGATCTTCTGGTGCAGAAAAGTACGGAACAAATCAAAGATTGTATCTCTACTAGAACTTCTGAATTTAAGGCTGTAAGTGAAATCAAAACAAATCATTGAAACTTCAATATTGGGCTGTAACAATAATGAGTGGTCATTTTTATTATATAGCGTATGTCAATAGCAGTAAAATTGATAGTTTCTGTCTTCCATGGCTTCGAGCAGTTTCGATTGCGAGATCTTTGTGTTAATCTTCTCTACTTCCTTTCAGTTTTTGCCAAATCCCAGTTGCACCTTCATTCCACCTACATCTTTAAATCTTTGATCAAAGCTTATGGTTTCTTGCGTGATATTGGCAATGCCTGATTTTTTGCTTCTAGCTATCAAATTTTCAGCCTTTAGGTTTCTGGAGAACGCAAGTTGATGTCAGAGAACACCCCGGATTGGAACTTCTTGCTCAACGCTTCTGCAGCTAACTCGTTTCTTTCTTCATTCTGAAACCAAACTAGCAAAATGTTACAATTTGGTGGTGGGAGAGGGGGTAATCTTTCTTGGTTCGGCTTCGTTCGTCTCAACAATTTTTGGGGGGAAGAGGGAGACTACTTGTACCTTTCCTTTGAAATTTATAATAATCGGTCCAGATCTGGATTCTCGATAACACCCTTGATGTGAGGCAAAGGAAATAGTTAGAAAGAGATTGCAGAAGATATTTAATCACCAGGAAAACTATACCAGTTCAAAGACTGTTACCTATCTGTATATCTGGGAATTCAAGACACAGTTTAGATAGAGATGGAGCAATTTCTACCTGCATTTAATAAAATAAAATAAAAATTTAAAACATGGAGAGTTGGAGATTAATGGAACCAGTAAATTGATTGCAGTCAAAAAGCAAATGCATCAACTCTCTGTTTGATAAAACTGAGTTAAATTTGGCAAGCAGAGGGAATTCCAGGAAGGCTACATACGAAATAGATATTCAGTGTTTCGATATTTTTGATAGAGAAATATGTTTGGATGGAATGACGGTAACACAGTGAACTTTTTCCAAATTTGTACTTAATGTCTAAGAGCTGCAATCTAAGGAAGGCACGAACATGGGACAAGAGACACAATGCCCCACTTGACCTAGGATTCACAATTTTCCAG